GTTTTGAGCTATTACTGTACCCTAACCGTCATTTTAGTCGATGTCTTCGAGATCGTTTCCCTCGTCACAAATTTTGTTCTGTTTTATTGTCAGTCAAAAGAAGTTTCAAGACCTCATAGAACCTTGTCGTGCACGAAGCGGTATCGAGTCACATGATCTGAAAATAACAAGACATGAAATAACGGACTCTAAGGAGAAGGTATATTAAACAGGCGGTCGTTGGATGCATTTGTAGACACGTTGCAAATCGGATTTTCCCTTTTATGACACCCGTTCTGTGCTAGGTGTATATCAGTAATTGCGTTATCAATTCGTTCGAATGATTGAAGTTATTAACGTATCTTTTCACTGTGTTTCTCTGCAGACATTCAGGTTAATTCGTCTAAACGAGCTTCTTCATCAGTATTCCAGTGATGCCTCATTGATTGTTGTGTAAGTTCACTTTCTTGCAAATATATCGCATTGTTTCACGTAATTATATTCTCCCATTTCCGAACACCCGCAACTCGATTCAGTTATTCAAGTCAATGAAGTGATAATTCATTCTGTTGACTATCAGCTGTATCCTAACCTCCCCAATAACGAAGTTGTATGTTGTTGTGTATAATAGTTGTTGTTTTATTTTTAATCAGGACACTTCCAATGCCGCGCAAGGGTTCGACATCATCCTATATGTATATGAGTTGGTTAGAAACCATATCACGTGACCTTCCACCGACACTAATGATGAGAGGAAATCAATCCAGTGTTCTCACCTTTTACTCATAGCGTATCTCGCACCGTCTTAGCGAATATGCAGTGTACAATTCCCTGCATTTGTTTTTGTTTTTTTCTAGATACAAAATCGCAAATGCACGTGTCAATTATACGATGTAAACTCCGTGCCATATGTGTACTACTTTATTATCATGTGTGTCGCACGCATGCGTAGACATGCTTTCATTGTAAGACAAATGACGCTGAATAAGCACCAAACCATAAACTCAATATGGTCTATGTCCACACATACTGATTTCTGAGTTTCCGTTTTCAACTTGAACCAGTGTATTGATTCATGAATTATATTTTTCGGGGTGGGGGGTGGGGGGTGGGGTGGGGGTGGGGGTTGAATAAGTTGTGATGTCCGCGTTGTGTACATTATTGCCTGTATTGTTTAAAAAATATCGACATTGTTGGAAGATTTTTTGCAAAAAACTCTGAATAACTTTAATTAGACATATTACAAGATTGAATAATCCATATATTCCAGTTTCTTTGCGTTGTTTGTTCTGTGGAGATATATGCAACTATTACCGTCGTATTAGAAGAGATTTGAGCTTTACATACTGTAATCTGTCTTCGTACTCATAACAGTGCAGGTTTTCTCTCTCATATTTCTATTCCAAGGTTTATTTTTAACAGTCTTTTTTTAACGGATCTAATTTGTAAGAAGCGTAATTGATTGTATAAATAAGAAAAAAAGTACATCGTAATAATTGCTAGTCGTATTATGGTTCTGTGCCTAATAACTTGTATCATAATGTAAATAAACATAATTACATAAGGGCAATGATTGTAAATTTGTGTTGTGATTTGTTTCCTCCAAAAGACGAAGGTTGTTCAAAATAAGAAAGAAGTTAGCAAACACTTCGATAATGTAGCGATCCTGGGTAGAGGTTTTATTCGATTAATATCAGAATATTATATCAATTAATTGGCAATAAAGTTATGTCTGAGTAAATTCTATATTGTGACGTAAATACGAGAGGGGCCTATATGGGGGTACTCAATATATAGGAGTTGGGCCCTATATTTAATACAGGTAAAATAACAGACGTCTCTGGCAGCGTGCTTATTTTACAAGTCATGACTTCTCTTCTTTTATGGGAATAGGGATCGTTGGGTGAAAGTATACCACCACAACTGTGGCCATGCACGAAGGGAAATAGTACAACTCGTACTAATACAATGCATGAACTATTTGTTTTCAATAAATGAACACTAGGGGCGCTAACCACTCCGAATTGATCTGAGTGTAGCCCTGAGTACAGTCCTGTTAG